CATGTAATTAGCATGATTAGAGCATGGGTTAGCATGATTCTAGTATGAATTAGCATGTTTTAGCATGATTCTAGTATGAATTTGCATGTTTTAGCGTGATTATAGCATGAATTAGCATGTTATTATCATGAATCTAGGATGGATTACCATGTTATTAACATGAATCTAGCGAGGATTTTCATGTTGTTAGCATGATTGCAGTGTGAATTAGTGTAGGGCAATGGTCACCAAACTTGTTCCTGGAGGGCCGGTGTCCTGCAGATTTTAGCTCCAACCCTAATCAAACACACCTGAACAAGCTAATCAAGGTCTTATAGGTATACTTGAAACATCCAGGCAGGTGTGTTGAGGTAAGTTGGAGCTAAATCCTGAAGGGGCCGGTGTCAGGATTGGTGACCCCTGGTGTAGGGTTTTCATTTCTATTCGTCATGTCTATGTGCAATATGTTGTTGACATCCATCCATGAAAGAATAATCCAGATTTAACTTCTTAATATTATTTATTTGTTCGCTTTCATCACAACGCACTGGTAAAACATCAGCGTCCCAAGGGGGAAGGAAATCACATAAAAGTACTTGGAAGTAAGTTCAACATTCACAACCGGAGTCAAAATAAAAGTCCCGTTTGTTAACACTTGCGCACAACGAACTCTTGCACATTTTTGGCATACAACAGTAAGTAATTACAAACTTTTAGTTTGGATGTCATTATTATGTCATTACATTATAATTATTATGTAACAACATTGTATTTGCCTTGTTATAACAATGTAATTAGATGGATGATAGTAGGGCAGAGCGGAGCAAAAAGTAACACTTGGTCAAATAATAAACAAAGTATTGGGGTTAGACAAACCATTTGTTTTTACCAACAAATCACAAGCCTCTCCTACAAATGAGCTCAGAAATTATGATCGCCGAACCTATGGTTTCTGTGCAGTGTTGCCAAAAGTGCCAGGAGTAAAATGTTACTATTTACCCCACCTGCGGGGCAAGTTATAACAGACAGAAGGTTAGTTGTAACACATGCTTAAAAAGGCAGATTACACACAATTTAAATCCAGTTTACTTTAAATAATATCTATATTTTCTCAGTACCTAGCTTAATTTATTTTTATTCTACATAGCACAGTATGTTTATTTATTTATTGGATAAATACATTTGAATTTATTTGGATTATTATCCATTATTATACAATGCCTTTATTTGGAGTATTAGCAATAAAATATTTTTGTCAAAAAAAAAATCGATTAAAAATCATTTTATTAAAAAAGTTGTCAAAATAAAAAAAAATGTTGTGTTAGTTTAATTGGTGTTCAACAGTGTGTGGCTTAATTTTAACACCCTGTTACAACTAACCCCGCTGTGTCATGTTTTCCTCAAAACTGGCTAGCAGTCACTGTGTGTTTCTTACATCTTTCAAAATGGTTTTATCTTTTAGCCTAGAAGACGGTGATCACAACAATACAAGATTTCACGTTCATACTTTCACAGATTATTTTAAATAAAAAAATATTGACTATGATAAAAAATACCTTTATGCTGCAAAAATGGTTTCTCTTGTGTTTCTCATCTAAATTTCACCGAACCTTTTCAATAATTGCCAGGAAGACATCTGCTGAAAACTGTGGTAAAAACCCTTGGAAGTATGCCATGATCAAGCCTGAGCAAATACCTTAAAACTCTGTGTTACACTTAACCCCACGTTACTTTGTGCTCTGCGCTCCCCTATTGTAAATGTCTTCTTGTATACTTCATGTACAGTACAGTATGTTTTATATTGTGTGTTGAAGAGTACAATTGCAAAGAAACATAGAAATGACTAAAACTAGAGATTTTAGTAGTTTTCAGAAATCATGATTTTACATTAAGTATTGAAGATTTCAACTGCAAAAATGTTGAAATATAAGACTTTTAGAGATGGTAGCAATCAAGAGATATAGTATCATATTCCAACTCATTATGTGCTGTGAATGATTTTTACAGCGTTAAAGGGATCATCTTCAAGACAATACTTTCTGTATAAAACTTAAAATCAAAGAGAAACAAAAGTTACATGTTTTATGTTTAGTAGACGTGAATGAGTCGACAGAGAAGCTGACTTAAACTTGCTCAGAGAAACGCTGTTGCTGTCAAACATGGTTTACTACACTAAGCCAGTTTAATGGTGAAGGGATTGATCCAATAGGCCTATTGATAGAAGGTTTGTGAAGACATTTCATGCTCCCTTAATTAGCATTTTGTAGTATTTTCAAAATATTTTATTATATATAGTATTTTATTTTAATACATTTGAGCTCTCACACAGCTCTCCCACCTTCTACTTACAACAGGGGTTGAGGAGGTTATCAAGCCATCCAGCTTAAAATACGGAGAGGAAAAGACAAAAGTCTCTGCACGGGCCTGGCCTGAGGTAAAAGTGACACTCATCTGAGAGGTCAAATATTTCATACACAAAACATTTTAAAGACACAAATGCAAACAAACTATTTTATAAACTGCTTGGTGACTACAGCTGACAATGCTTGATTAAAAGTTTTGAATGAGCACATGACACTATTCAGGCATTATTCATTTAGTAGTCATGATGAAATGTTTGCTACGGGAAATAAACACATTTTGTATTATTGCTGGAATCTTATCAAAACATGATCTTATTTTAAACTGTTAACATTAAATGTAATTAAATACATGACCAGCACCTGAGCATTACTTAGGGTCTGTCAGTAGTGATCGCCTGCCTGATTTTTGTCAAAAGGTGGAGGTTGTACAAAATTTGATAGAGGTGGTCACCTCCCTCCTACTTGTCTTTGCAGGAAAAACATCGAGTTATTGTAATAAGATGTGAGTGTTTCCAACAATAATAGAAAAATAGTTATGGCTATACATAATTCACATATACACGTTACATGATTGATATGAATTCTTCTCTCCAACAAAGATGACACTAAACATAGTCTTAATGCTTATACATATGACATATAAGAGCACTTGTAATGCAAATGTCAACCTTAGCATGAAAGAAATTAAGTTTTCACCAAAATACGGAACCCGTTTCTGTTTTTTTTTTTTTGTCTAAGCAAGTATTTTACAGAACTTTAAAAATGCTCAAAAATGTCTCTGTCAGCTTTTTTAAACAATTATATTTGATTTACCAAAGTCACACAAGTGGTAATTTCACATCGGTCACATCCATAACAACACTTTTTCCTCTTAAATGCAAAAAAAATATCGTAAAATAAAATTAATCATTTTTGTTTTATAGAGAGCCAACTCTTATCATTTTGATGATCATTACTTCTTTTGGGTCTTGCAGTTTAATTCACAGAATGTCTACTAAGTATTTTCATTTAAAGTACAAAACATGTTTACAATTAATAAACATATAAATATTTTCTATGTGAATTTATGTTCTGAGTTTTTACTCCAAATGTCACATCCATAACACTGGAATTGCTCATATATAAATATAAATCTAACTTATTTTCAGCTAAAATCTACTGTATATAATTAAGCTTAAAATTACATTGTTTAATTTTGTTACTGGATAATAATGTTATAATAAGTTTGTTCTGTTAGCAATTACAACATTTATTATTATTTTCTTCAATTAAAGCAAAATTATTTGAGATAAAATCTATCTAATCTTAAAATGACAGTGTTTTATTTAGTTTCTGGACAATGTTTCAGAATCAGTTGGTGTTGTATTTACAAGTTTATTTCTTGTATTTATTTAGATATTTGTGGTCAAAATACTGTTCCTTATTATTGAGAAGTGAAAGATTAAAGATTATAGCTTGTATCTGCCTGTCTGTCTATTAATTCAATTTAATAATTGCTTTATTGGCATGACAATTGTTACAAATGTGTTGCCAAAGCAGTTATAAAGTTTACATAAAAAGTAACATACATATATAATAATAATAAAAAAACAGTACACACAGTAAATTGTAGTAGTAGCAAAAAAAATATTATATTTATATATAATTATTAAATAAAATATCAACAATACATCATAATATTCAATATATCACATTGATATTCAATATATTATATTATTACTCAACATTGATTATTCATACAAATCAATACAAAAATAGATCAGAATAAACTGTACATTTTTAGGATAAACAGTAATTAAAACAATAAAAATTAGTATATTTACAATGAATCATTTATAATCATTTAGGTGTGTGTGTGTGTGTGTGTGTGTGTGTGTGTCTATTATATATCTAGTTTAGATAGCTTGTCAAATATGGTGCTGGGATTTTGAATGTAAACAAGTGTTCCGGAATGCGCTGTCATAGAAACAGAAGAACGCAGCATTAAAAGTAGAAGACAGTTCAGAATCTCCTCATTGCGTCTTCTCATTGCAGTTGGTAATAGTAGTGTTCCCAGTGAATTCTGTTATTATGGCATTGAAAAGAAAGCGTTGTTCTCAAGGAACTCAGTTGTATGATTTACATACTCGTACACCTCCAACATCCAGCGCCAATGTGGCTGAGAACCTTTCACCTGTTGGTGTTGGTGAGGAGATTGAGATACAAGTGAGAAAGAAGAGGAGGTGGGAGAGTTTTGAAAAGCCGCTCTCCCTTTACGCTGAGGGTAAATCCAGTCACTGTTTGTCAATCTGACCATGCTTTGTGTTCACTAGATCTCCGTACATGTACATATAGGCCCAGACAGATTTTGTTTTGCTATTTCTGCTGAGAATTTTGTTAAAAAAGTCTGCAGATTTATGAGGAATGATTTTGAGAGTAAAGTAACTAAAAACCGAACACATACAATAAAAAAATAACTTTATAACTTGTTTTAGGTTTCTAACACAAATCTAAGTAGAACCAATTGTTTGGTAATCAAAGTTTCTCATAATTAATCCACTAAAAGAGAAAACTTTACAACAATCTGTATTGTACATAAATCATTTAAATAATTGCAGATTATTAATAATATCACTGAAATATAAAAATGGTATAAATATCAATATTCAATGGGCTCAATAATGGGCATAAAATGTGTATGATTCAGATTTGTTGAAGGCAAATTATGAGCATTCACTGTTAGAAATCCGAGTCATGACAGTTTCTGATCTCTAAGATGAAGTGTGTCTTTACACTTTACATCAAAATACAAATCAGTTTTATAAGCCATTATCATTATCATTAATGCATGTCTTACATCTCTAAATACAGATGACAACCAATGGATGACTTTTCTCAGTGGCCAAAAGAGAAAACGAAGTTGTCACAGCTCTTATGTGAACGATTTCCATCGTCGTACACCTCCGATATCCATCACCAGCCTTCAGTCCACTGATGTTGCTGAGGAAAATGAGAGAAAGAGGAGAAGGACTGACAGTCCTGAAAAGCTGCTCTCCTGTAAAGTCCAGAAGTCCAGCAGCAGCTCTAGTCAGGAGGACCAGACTTCTGTTCAGATCCACAAGAAGAGTTCTGAAGGTAAATCTAGTGGTCATTTGAGAATGTGTGGCCTTCTCTCATGATCCTCTTCAGTATGAAGTAGAGTACATTACATTAAGTTCTGTAAATATAAATATATTTTTTAAAAAGCACTCTAAAAGTTTCAATCACTGTTTGCTGTATTTTGAAGTGTCCACCATATCAGTATTGTGCAGGTTCATTTTCACGATGTATTGAATTATTGAATATAGGCATATGTCTATTCCACCTCAAACATTACACACGTGTCTGTCAGTGCTTGACATTTCACATCAGCTGCAATTATTCATCTTTTAACAGGTAACATTCTGGACCAGTATGAACTCGGCAAGGAGATTGGAGAGGGAGGATTTGGCAGCGTCTATAAAGGGAAGCGCTTGGAGGATGGCCTTGAGGTGAACAATCCCTTTAACATATATTATGTTCACTTTTTAGTGCACTTGATGTGATTATAACAGAAGTGTTGTTTTGTTGAACAGGTGGCAGTAAAAATAGCCAGAAAGCCATCGAACATGAAATACATCAACATCGTAAGTAGACTTAAACATGTAAAGGCACTGACAACAGTATATTTGGGGAAGCAACATCGCCAAACTAATCTTTCTTCTAGGCTGGTCATCCTGAGCCCCTTCCTTTAGAGATCGGCCTGTTGATACTGGCTCATAGAGGCGGCAAGGTTCCAGAGATCATTGAGCTGCTGGACTGGCAGGACCAGCAGGATTGTTACATCATGATCCTGGAACGACCTTCACCATGTGTAGATCTGTTCGACTTCATAATGTCTCTCGGCTCCATCACTGAACGCCAGGCTCAAAAGATCATGGAGCAGGCAACAACGGCCGGTCTTATGTGCTGCAGACGTGGGGTATTTCACCGGGACATAAAGCTGGAGAACCTGCTGGTCAACACGGACACGCTGGAGGTCAAGCTAATTGACTTTGGCTGTGGGGCTCTTCTCCAGGATTCTGGCTATGACAGTTTCTGTGGTATGTATTAAACTTAACACCTGTAGTCTGGACTGTCAATTTGACCAATCATGTATTTTCATGTTACAGAGAAAACATGCTTTAGTGTTTCATGCTGAGACCAAATCTTGTTTCTTCAGGCACAAAGGAGTACTTCCCACCAGAGTACTACCTGGACGACGAATACCATGCAGAACCATCCACTGTATGGTCTTTAGGAGTTCTGTTATTCCTGCTGCTGTGTCAACGATTTCCTGAAGTCACGGACACGCAGAGGATCGATGATGGAAACTGGACTGAGCCTGGATTGTCAGAAGGTAAGACGTCATTCATCACATCATAGACGAGCAGTTGTAGTTTAAATCATACAAAATCATGGATTAAACTAAGAGTTGGATATTGGATAATGGTGACAATGTTCTGATTCTAAAGGAGAGTAGAGTCAGATCTTATAGATGAATAAAATGACAGCAGATGTAAAGTTGAAGTTGATAATGTGTTTCTCTCACTTCTTCCCACCATCGTTCTGCACAGAATGCTGTGACTTGATTCAAGCTCTCCTGCAGGAAAACCCAAGCCAGCGGATTCCTCTGGAAGAAATCATTCTCCATCAATGGTTTAAGGTACTGAACTGTAGATCAGCTTCTAATGATTTGGAAAATAGATTCTCTTTTCATTTGAAAAAGTTTTTTTTTTTGATGGATTTTATGGTTTTTGTTTATTGTGACGAATCTGAATCAATAACCTTGATTTGGTGTGTGTCTGTATGTTTCAGGTCAAGGAATAAAAAAAAAGGAATGTAGTGCAAATGGATGGGAAAGATTATTTGCACTACTGAGCACCACAGTTCCTGACGCTAAAAGTTACAGATTCAACAGGAGAGCTTAAAAAAAGACACAGCAGCAACAAAAATCCTAAAAAAGGTCACAGCAACAACAGAAGATCCAGAAAAAAAGAATAAGCCTCAAGAAAAGATCCTGAGAAGAGGGCACAGCTTTAACAACGAAAACATTTGTAAATAAAAACATGAATAAAATATACTTTGTCGCATCAGTCCTGTTTTCCTCAAAAAACACATCAAATCAGCCACGATGCTGAAAAAGCAGACAGCAGTGAATGAAACACTTAAACACATCACTTGAACACCTAAACATCAGAACAACTAAACACATACACACTCTCACACACACTTATAAACTGATGTGACTGTAACTGAGCAAAGTTTTGGGAAATGTAAACAAATTTAGTAATTAAAGCACAATGTAGAAAAAAGTAAGAAGAGGATTGTGCAGACACTCTCTCTCTCTCTCTCTCTCTCACACACACACACACACACACACACACACACACACACACACACACACACACACACACACACACACACACAAACAGAGGCTTGTATATATCTGTAAATTCAGACAGTATCAGTCAGAGGCCACTAGAGGACAGACACTAGCCATTCTGCTGGAAAAGCAAAGAAAATTGGTTCATTCCAGAACAAGTGTTGAAACCGCATAAGGCCTAAATGACCTTTAACCTTTGATCAGTTTTCCCTCAACACTCAGTTTTAGTAAATTATAAGCAGTGTGAAAAAAAAGCTAGATTTACCCAGCGCTGAGAATGACCTAGACTTGACCTTTGAGTTTTAAAATCCAAGACACAATTAACAGATGTAAGACTGTCGCGGGACCAACGGGATTCAACTGAAATATAGTGGACAGAGTTTGTCGGTCATGCTGCTTACAATCTCAAAACATTAACAATCACACTCTTACGTAACATCATTAACTGTGTCATACATATAGGCGTTATAACCTGATTAACTTAAGAAATAAACTAAGAAAATTTCCATGTGTGTGTGTGTGTGTGTGTGTGTGTGTGTGTGTGAACAATTCTGAACGATATCTCAATATCTCAAGCATACAAACATCAGACAGCTTCTAGGCTTTTCGCACACTTATCCCTCTTCCTCATGGTGTTGCCATATGGCAACATGATATTTGTGTTCATTCCCCTGTCACTGTTTCTTTAAGACCAACATTGAATTGTTTTAGTTGGAAAGAGAAGACCTTAGTGTAGCCAATAATGTGCTTTGGTTTAGTCACATGACCTGCAGTGTTTTTCTGTGGCATGATTTCTGGCAGTCTGGCGTTCATAGTGAGTAGTTGCTGAATGCAAATGTAAACTTCAATAAAGACAAAGCATCAACTCATGTTAGATCAACAAAGAAATCTGTAACATCACCTCCAGTAAGTTACGATGACATATTCACTACTCAATCTTTTTTAATCACTTAAGTTTTCTGTTAATCGTTTAAATGTATGTGTTTCCAAGTGCCAACACTGTGGGATAGAGGAACGTGCAATATTGCAATGGGTTAGCTAGCTAGCAAGTTCAGCTGTGAACTTTTAAGTTGCAACAATAACAACATGAATGCTAGTAATATATTGTTGTTTAGGTGTATGTTAATGACATTTGCATTATGGATAAAATCTAGTTTTAATGGCAATACTACTTTTGAATAGATATGAATACAGGGAACAGTGTATAAGGGAGCACCACCATGTTCAATGATAAGTGAAAGAAGAAAAGGACAGAACTGGCTCTTCCTGCAGATGAAAGTGAGGATGAGATTTTTTAGTGACCATGAGAATTTTTATGAGTTTTAGTGAGCATGAGAATGATGCAGACTGGACATTTGGTAAGAGCAGTGATGGAGACAGTTCGAGTAAGTTAGCTCTGAGGCAGATAAGACAGGCGTAGTAAAGTTTAGTGTAATTTATAAACATTGTTAGCTAGTAGCTACTTTATTCTGATGTATCTGGATATACTAGACTTGTTATTTATTTGTTATAATATTTACTGGAGAAAATATTTATCTTCACTCTATGTTATATCCATGACAATTAAATATTAGCTTTTTAGTAATATTAATAAAAAAAAATAATAAATGAAAGCTATTGGAATATCAGCTGTTGGAAAGTATGTATAAGGTGTCATTTTTAAGTTAAGCTCCTTACCCAAGGCTGAGTGTACTCTCAGCAGTCTTATTAAAACTGCTTTAAAATGGTACAAAATACATCCAAACTGCCAGCTTATATACAAAGAAATTCACTTCAAAAGATAAAAAAGGCAAATAACTCAGGAAACAGTTGTTTCCAATCCTCCACTCAAAAGCTCTCCATGTCCTCTGACCTGGCTGGTTAGATAAAATACTTTGTAAGAAGTCTACATTGCTGTTATACACTGTAATCCCGAATAAGTTGACAAAACTCAAAAAATTTGAGGTAATCAGTTACGTCAAATTTTTTAAGTTATGAAATTATCTATTTTAAGTAAACAGAAACATTAAGTTTTGAGTTTGTTGTACTCATGCAAGACACTTCACCTAACTTAAAATACCCAAGTTATTCAGCTTATACGTTTTAATTGCAATTAACTTAATTGTTTTAATTTTTCCAAACTTAAAATACTTAGTCACCCAGCTCATACATTTTAATACCAATTAACTTAATTGCTTTAATTTCTTTCAACTTTAAATACTTAAATCACCCAGCTCATACATTTTAATAACAATTAACTTATTTTTAATTATTTATCTCACCTTTACATACTTAGTCACCCAGCTCATACATTTTGATAGCATTTTTTAAAATTAACTTCTCCATCGTCAGTTTCACAATTAAAATTAGCCATTATTTTAATCTTTAAACCCCATAAATCTGTCAAAATAAATCTGTAATTTAAAACACACAGACAATACCATTTTAGACATTTATTGTTAAAGAAAAAATGTCCAACAGTACTTTCAAATTTGTCTCCTATGCAATTACAAATGTCTTAAAACAATAAAAACTATTAGACATAAAGAGATTGAAAATGAACACTATTCTGAAATTAATAAAAATTACCCACAATGTAAATATGATATCAGACATAAGAGCCTCAAGAAAAAACAACTATAAGTTTGATAAAATTTAATAATACATTAATAAGTGTAAAACTTACTCTTAAGGCATTCGTTAAAAAAAATAATAAGTGCACATTCTGTGAAGTGACTCGTTTAGTGTAAACTACACAGAAACTGTGTATATATATATATATATATATATCGTTGAAGTCAGAATTATTCGCCCCCATTTATTTTCCCCCCAATTTCTGTTTAACGGAGAGCAGATTATATATATATATATATATATATATATATATATATATATATATATATATATATATATATATATATATATTGTAGCGAGGCAGAGGGAAAACAGCGACACAGTTGGATAAGTTTACAGACAAGTCCCCGGAGGGTGCTTTATTTACAACGTGAATGGGGTGTAAACGGTGCTCTTCTTCAAGGTGAGGTGCTCTGGTGCTCCGGGAAGTAAGTGAAGGACAGTGAGTAGTCGGATGTGGGATCGTCACGAGCTGGAGTCTGCTGTGGAGAGACAGAGAGACAAGCGTTAGCGCATGGAGTCATTGGGTGAATGAAGCTCATCTTCTCCTTGCGTGGGCTTGGTTTATATGCCTCTCCACTTGATGACGTCCAGCTGTGAACGATCCTGTGTTGATGATGGTCCAGCTGGGTTGAATTAGCGACCAGGGCGACGTGGCATGTGTGCGCTCGTTACAATGTATATATATATATATATATATATATATATATATATATATATATATATATATATATATATATATATATATATATACAGTGTTGGTTGAACTATGATTCTGTCATTTACTTATTCCAAACCTGTTTGAGTTTCTTTCTTCTGTTGAAAAAAAAAAAAAAAAGCTGAGACCTGTAACCACCGATTTCCACAGTATTTGTTTTCCTATTAGAAAGTCAGTGGTTACAGGTTGTCAGCTTTACTTAACTTTTGTGTTCAACAGAAGCAAGAAATTCAAGCAGGTTTGGGACAAGTGAAGAGTTAGTAAATGACAGAATTTTACATTTGGACAAACTATCCCTATATATAATAAAATGCATACTTACCAATTAAAGGTAAATAAATGTTTTGAAGTTACTACCCCAGAGACAGTCTTTATTAAGTTAAAAAAAAATAAAAGCTCTACATCAACTCATTCTTTAAGGTTTCCATGCTACGAGACTTTTTATTTTCCATCATCCATGCCAAGCAAAACTTTTTGCACAAGTTCAAAGTCCTTTACTATATATTATGTGAAGAGCATACATTAATCCATACAAGACAAGAAAGGTCTGGAAGTGTGCTGTGGGTGGTGTCCAATTCATTCTTCAGGACAACAGAGACCCTTAGTGAATGCAGGGCCAATAAAGCATCTTCAGTCAGCAGGATTATCAATCTAAAAACATAATTCAAGGATATTAATGTAAGGACAGTATCAAAATGACTGAGCCAATATTATATGATTCATCAACTATTCTTGATTACAAATATGTTATTAAGTAAAAGTTTTCAAAACTTTCATCTTTTCATTAAACATGCCTAATTGTGAAAAGAATGAATGAAGTCTTACCATGGTGTTCCTAAAGAATCTTAAGTCACGCTCACGCAGCAAGACCAAAAGATCTCTGATAACAGTAGTCCGTCATGAACTGACATCATGCAGTTCCTGGAAATCAAGAATCAATTTTTTAAAA